CTCTCCATGTTATTCTTCTTTGATCTATTCTCTCTAAATGACCAAACCACCTCAACAACCCCTCTTCTGCCCTCTGACTAATACTTTTATTAACTCCACACCTCCTAATTTCCACACTCCGAATTTTCTGCATAATATTTACACCACACATTGCCCTAGACAGGACATCTCCACTGCCTCCAACCGTCTCCTCGCTGCAGCATTTACAACCCAAGCTTCACACCCATATAAGAGTGTTGGTACTATTATACTTTCGTACATTCCCTTCTTTGCCTCCATAGATAATGCTCTTTTGTCTCCACATATACCTCAACGCATCACTCACCTTTTTTCCCTCATCAATTCTATGATTAACCTCATCGTTTATAAGCCCATCCGCCGACACGTCAACTCCCTAATATCTGAAAACATTCACTTCTTCCATACTCGTCCTCTCCAATTTGATATCCAATTTTTCTTTATTTAAATCATTTGATACCCTCATCACCTTACCCTTTTCTATGTTCACTTTCAACTTTCTACCTTTACACACATTCCCAAACTCATCCACTAACCTTTTCAACTTTTCTTTAGAATCTCCCATAAGCACAGTATCATCAGCAAAAAGTAACTGTGTCAACTCCCATTTTGTATTTGATTCCCCATAATTTAATCCGTAATGCCTCACGCACCTCCCCCACACTCACATTCTGCTCTTCTTCACTCCTACAAGATGGTATACCTCCCTGGCCAGTGCATGAAATTACCGCCTCCCTTACTTTATCAACATTTAGAAGTACCTCAAAATGTTCCGACCATCTACCCAATACCTCCACCTCCTCATCTACTAACTCCTCTACTCTGTTTTTACTGACAAATCCATTCATTCTCTAGACTTTCTTAACTTGTTTATCTCACTCCAAAATTTTCTTATTTTCATTAAAATTTCTTGACAGTGCCTCTCCCACTCTATCATCTGCTCTCCTTTTGCACTCTCTCACCAACTCTCTTCACCTTTCTTTTACTCTCCATATACTCTGCTCTTCTTATAACACTTCTGCTTTGTAAAAACCTCTCAAAGCAAACCTTTTCTTCTTTATCACACCCTTTACTTCATCATTCCACCAATCACTCCTCTTTCCTCCTGCACCCACCCTCCTAATACTGCATTTTTAAAAATATTCCAACCCTCTTCAACCCCGCCACTACTCATACTTGCACCAGTCCCACCTTTCTGCCAATAGTTGCTTATATCTCACCCGAACTTCCTCCTCCCTTAGTTTATAATCCCCACTTTTCCCCTCTCGCCCTCTTACTCTAACTGTAGCTACAACTAGATAATGATCCGATATATCAGTTTTATATATATATAAAATATATATATATATATATATATATATATATATATATATATATTTTATATATATATATATAATATATATATATTTGATTGAATATTTATCCTGTTTAACTGCTTGTAGGATTGAAGATCAATTGCTTGTAGGATTGGCAGATGGTGGACGTAGTAGGTGTGTTCCACTTCCTCGTGAACTCCTCCTCAACCTTCTTGTGCTCCTCAGGATGCTTCTTCCTGAACGTCTTCTCCATCAAGGTCAAGTATGCGGCATTGCGTCTGCTGTGGCCGCGTCACGCAAGTCTGCGTCTGCGTCATCATCTTATCCAGCATTGGGTTTCCCTTTGCCTAGAAGACCCCCAAGACTGCGCGACTGCGTCCATCCATCCTTGCTTCATCCTGACGCAAGACTGCGTCCACGTTATCCATCCTTGTTTCATCCTGACGCAAGACTGCGTCCACTTCATCCATCCCTGCTTCACCCTAATGCAAATAATAATAATAATATAATAATAATAATAGTAATAATAATATAATAATAATAATAATAATAATAATAATAATAATAAGAAAAAATGAAGAAGAAGAAGAAGAAGAAGAAGAAGAAGAAGAAGAAGAAGAAGAAGAAGAAGAAGAAGAAGAAGAAGAAGAAGAAGAAGAAGAACAATATAGGAGGAGCACTGCAGGAGGCCTACTGGCCCATACTGGGCAGGTCTATCTCAAACCCATTAACAAACCCATGGCCAATACATTATCAATATTACCCAAGGATTAATAGGCTTTAATAACCCTATTAACTCATATGTAAGTCCCACTAAAGTCCAATCCCTCTCACTCACGTATGAGTCCCACTCAAGTCCAACGTAGTAGGCTGAGGGACTGACCACCTCAAATACATTTTCTCCAAGGTTGAGGGACTGAATATATCATCTTTATTTCATTACAACTGCTGCCTCTGTATTTGACTGAGGAAACCTACTGTGTAGACGGGACATTTAAACAATAAAGACCCAACTGTTGCACATGTCTCTTAATTTTCAATTTGTCGGTATTTTATACCAACAAGTCGAACTGCATCTGCCACTTTTCTGACCAGGAATTGAGTTTGTCTAAATCCTCCTGAAGTTCCCTGACATCTACGTTTGAGTCAATTATCCTACTTATCTTCGTGTCATCGGCGAATTTGCTCATATCTCTAGTAATTCCCTCGTCAAGGTTATTGATATATAGTATAAACAACAACGGGCCTCAGACTGATCCCTGTGGTACGCCACTTGTTACAGATCCCGACTTGGATTTAACCCCATTTAAGCACACTCTCTGCTTCCTATTGGTGAGCCATGACTCGATCCATGACAGCACTTTTCCCGAAATGCCATGACCTGCCACTTTCTTTAACAGTCTCTGGTGTGGCACTCGATCAAAAGCCTTAGTCAAACCTAAATAAACAATATCGAATTCTGTATCGTGATCAACAGCCTCAACAGCTTTACTGAAGAAAGTTAATTATCTGGGGAGGAACGGCCCCTCGGGAATCCATGCTGACTATCACAGATCAACTATTCCTGTCAAAATGGCTTCTTATAACTATCCATGCCAGAAGAGGCTGTTCGTCCTGGCCAACAAGCTATCCATCCCTCACCCATATCCTTCCCTCTCTCCTTCCGCTGAACGCAAACGCTGGTCACTTACGATGTCGTTAACGTTGGGATTGGCTGGTTTTGTTTGGGTCTTGGTCCTCTTGCAGGTTGGTCCCTTCGGGCTGCGGCTGCCGCCAGGAGGAGACCGCAGCCTGCGGGAATGCTCCAGTGTTTGCTGCGGCGGCCCGTAGTGGTCTGGCCTGGTTCTTGGGAGATAGAGGGTCCGGAGAGGGTGGAGGGGTGGTTCTGAACCGGTTCTGTGAGGATAGGGGGTTCAAAGAGGGTAGAGGGGTGGTTCTGGACCGGTTCTTGGGGCTTAGGAGGTCCGGAGAAAGAGGAGGAGTGGTCCTGGACCAGTTGTGAGGGAATAGGAGGTCCGGAGTGGGTAGAAGGGTGGTCCTGGAGGGGTTCTGGGGAATAGGGGGTCCGCAGAGGGTGAAGGAGGGGTCCTGTTGTTGCAACTTGACGGGGAGGTCTTGTTGTTGCAGGGGCTTCCGGTGATGGATGCCAGAGTCACGTTTAGGACAAGCACTGACCTTTACACTCATACTGAGTCGACCCACCACAACACAGCTGGAAAAAGGTCAGGTCAGGTCAGCCAGGGGTCAACAAGGGTGTCAAGCAGGGATGAATATTGGCTAAGAATAAAATTAAGACAAGATAAATAACCGTAGAACCATTTACACAGTCACACAGTGTGCCTATGTGTATCAGACTTTGAAATACACGTTGAGGGCCTGGAGAAAATACATATTCCTGACAGGATTCATACGCCATTCGATGTGTTAATTCAAAACAGAGATACTGACTCTCAGTTTCAGAAGGAACTCAATGCTATGACTATGGATCTCGTAGCAGAGGCATTTTCTGGGAATGTAAACACAGGACAGTCACTCCCTATGAAAGCAAAAGACTGGCAGGAGAGGCAACACTCCCACGATGAAGAGCAGGGGTGCCACGAGTACGCTATGAGACAACATAATAAGTGTCATGGGACCAAGACTGTTCAATTGCTTCCCAGCATACATAAGGGGGATTACCAATAGATCCTTGGCTGTCTTTAAGATCCATGGCTGTCTTTATGACCCATGGCTGTTTTCAAGACCCATGGCTGTCTTCAAGACTCATGGCTGTCTTTAAGACCCCTGGCTGTCTTTAAGACCCATAGCTGTCTTCAAGACCCCTGGCTGTCTTTAAGACCCCTGGCTGTCTTCAAGACCCACGGCTGTCTTTAAGACTCATGGCTGTCTTCAAGGCCCATGGCTGTCTTTAAGACTCCTGGTTGTCTTCAAGACCAATGGCTGTCTTAAAGACTCCTCGCTGTCTTGAAGACCCATGGCTGTCTTCAAGACCCATGGCTGTCTTGAAGACAAATGGCTGTCTTCAAGACCCATGACTGTCTTTAAGACCCCTGGCTGTCTTCAAGACCCCTGGCTGTCTTAAAGACTCCTCGCTGTCTTGAAGACCCATGGCTGTCTTCAAGACCCATGACTGTCTTTAAGACCCCTGGCTGTCTTCAAGACCCCTGGCTGTCTTAAAGACTCCTCGCTGTCTTGAAGACCCATGGCTGTCTTCAAGACCCATGGCCGTCTTTAAGACCCATGGCTGTCTTCAAGACCCATGGCTGTCTTCAAGACCCATAGCTGTCTTTAAGACCCCTGGCTGTCTTCAAGACCCCTGGCTGTCTTTAAGACCCCTGTCTGTCTTCAAGACCCATGGCTGTCTTCAAAACTCCTGGCTGTCTTCAAGACCCACGGCTGGCCTCAAGACCCCTGCTGTCTTCAAGACTCACGGCTGTCTTCAAGACCCACGGCTGTCTTCAAGACCCCTGGCTGTTTTCAAGACCCACAGCTGGCTTCAAGACCCCTGGCTGTCTTCAAGACCCATGGTTGTCTTCAAAACTCCTGGCTGTCTTCAAGACCCCTGGCTGTCTTTAAGACCCCTGGTTGTCTTCAAGACCCACGGCTGTCTTCAAGACCCATGGCTGCCTTTAAGACTCCTGGCTGTCTTTAAGACCCCTGGCTGTCTTCAAGACCCACGGCTGTCTTCAAGACCCCTGGCTGCCTTTAAGACTCCTGGCTGTCTTTAAGACCCCTGGCTGTCTTCAAGACCCACGGTTGTCTTCAAGACCCCAGGCTCTCTTCAGAACCCCTGGTTGTCTTCAAAACCCCTGGCTGTCTTCAAAACCCCTGGCTGTCTTCAAGACCCCTGGCTGTCTTCAAGACCCCTAGCTGTCTTCAAGACCCCTGGCTGTCTTCAAAACCCCTGGCTGTCTTCAAAACCCCTGGCTGTCTTCAAAACCCCTGGCTGTCTTCAAAACCCCTGGCTGTCTTCAGAACCCGTGGCTGTCTTCAAGACCCCTGACTGTCTTCAAAACTCCTGGCTGTCTTCAAGACCCCTGGCTATCTTCAAAACCCCTGGCTGTCTTCAAAACCGCTGGCTGTCTTCAAAACCCCTGGCTGTCTTCAAAACTCCTGGCTGTCTTCAAAACCCCTGGCTGTCTTCAAAACCCCTGACTGTCTTCAGAACCCGTGGCTGTCTTCAAGACCCCTGGCTGTCTTCAAGACCCCTGACTGTCTTCGAAACCCCTGGCTGTCTTCAAGACCCCTGGGTGTCTTCAAGACCCCTGGCTGTCTTCAAGACCCCTGACTGTCTTCAAGACCCCTGGCTGTCTTCAAGACCCCTGGCTGTCTTCAAAACCCCTGGCTGTCTTCAAGATCCCTGGCTGTCTTCAAAACTCCTGGCTGTCTTCAAGATCCCTGGCTGTCTTCAAGACCCCTGGCTGTTTTTAAGACCCCTGGCTGTCTTCAAGACCCCTGGCTGTCTTCAAGACTCCTGGCTATTACTCTCCCACACCCTCCACCCACATACTCACTCCTTCTCCAGCTGAAGTATGAGAGTCAGGTCCTTACGGGTGATACAGGAGTTCCTACAGAGGAACCTGAGCTGGATGCTGTACTGGTGTGGGTGATGTGTGGGTGAAGGGGTCACTAGGATGGAGGGGTGGGGGTCCTCCATCCACTCTGACCCATCCACACCCTTCACCACTAACATGTGCTCTGTGGGAGAAAAAAAGAGAGAGAGAGAGAGAGAGAGGAAAAGAGAGGAGAGAGAGAGAGAGAGAGAAAAGAGAGAGAGAGAGAGAGAGAGAGAGAGAGAGAGAGAAGGAAAGAGAGAGATAGAGAAGAGAAAGATAAGAGAGAGAGAGAGAGAGAGAGAGACGAGAGAGAAGAAGAGAGAGAGAGAGAGAGAGAGAGGAGAGATAGAAAGAGAGAGAGAGAGAGAGAGAGAGAGAGAGAGAGATATTTTATAATATATATTATAAGAGAGAGAGAGAGAAGATAGAGAGAGAGATAGAGATAGGATAGAGAGAGAGAGGTACTAGAGAGAGAGAGAGAGATAGAGAGGAGATGAGAGAGATAGAGAGAGAGAGAGAGAGAAGAGAAAAGAGAAGAGAAGAGAAAAGAGAAAGAAGAGAAGAAAAGAAGATATAAAGAGTTATATTTAGAAAGGTAATTTCTAAGATAAGATATGGCTAATTAAGGTAATAATTAAGGTAATCTTGTAGCTACTAAAGTAATCTTGTAGTTACTAAAATAATCTGGTAGTTACTAGGGTAATAATTAAGGTAATCTGATAGTTACTATGGTAATCTGGTAGTTACTAAGGTACTCTGATAGTTACTATGATAATCTAATAGTTACTATGGTAATCTGATAGTTACTTTCTGATAGTTACTATGGTAATCAGATAGTTACAATGGCAATCAGATAGTTACTATGGTAATCTAATAGTTACTATGGTAATCAGATAGTTACTATGGTAATCTAATAGTTACTATGGTAATCTAATAGTTACTATGGTAATCAGATAGTTACTTTCTGATAGTTACTATGGTAATCAGATAGTTACTATGGTAATTTGATAGTTACTTTCTGATAGTTACTATGGTAATCAGATAGTTACTATGGTAATCAGATAGTTACTATGGTAATCAGATAGTTACTATGGTAATCAGATAGTTACTACGGGAATCTGATAGTTAATAAGGTAATCTGATAGTTAATAAGGTAATCTGATTATTACTTTCTGATAGTTACTATGGTAATCAGATAGTTACTATGGTAATCAGGTAGTTACTATGGTAATCTGAGATGAACCTACTGGGATGGACAGGGTCCTGGTGGTTCTTGCAGGGGTGGACCGGCTGGGACGCCTCACAGTCCTTGGAGTAGACGAGCAGTAGTCTGAGAGTAGTCTGTGGTCGACAAATGGTCTATGACCATCGTGAAGGATATTTCTCTCTCTGTGTTTGAGGCGTAGTGAACCATCCTGCTCTGTGTTCTGTGTGAGGGTTTATAGTGATAGTAGTAGTAGTATAGTTGTAGTAATTGTGTAGAATAGTAGTATTAGTGGTAGTATTGTGGTAGTAATGGTAGTGGTAGTAGTAGCAAGTGGTAGTAGTAGTAGTGGTGGTAATAATGGTAGAAGTGGTAGTAGTGACAGTAGTAGTGGTAGTAGTAGTGGTAGTGGTAGAGGTAATAGTGGTAGAGTGGTAGTAGTGACAGAGTAGTGGTAGTAGTAGGGGGCAGTAGTAGTGATTAGTAGTGTAGTAGTAGTGGTAGTAGTAGTGATAGTGGTAGGAGAATGGTAGTAGTGGTAGTAGTAATGGTAATAGTAGTGGTAGTAGTGGTAGTAGTAGTGGTAGTAGTAGTGGTAGTAGTGGTAGTAGTAGTGGTAGTAGTAGTGGTAGAGTGGTAGATAGAGTGGTAGTAGTAGTGGTAGTAGTGGTAGTAGTAGTGGTAGTAGTGGTAGTAGTAATAGTAGTAGTAGTGGTAGTAGTGGTAGTAGTAGTGGTAGTAGTGGTAGTAGTAGTGGTAGTTGTAGTGGTAGTAGTAGTGGTAGTAGTAGTGGTAGCAGCAGTGGTAGTAGTGGTAGTATTAGTGGTAGTACTGGTAGTGGTAGTAGTAGTGGTAGTAGTTGTAGTAGTGGTAGTAGTAATGGTAATAGTGGTAGTACTGGTGGTAGTAGTGGTAATAGTGGTGGTAGTAGTGGTAGTAGTAGTGGTAGTAGTAGTGGTAGTGATAGTAGTAGCGGTAGTGGTAGTAGTGGTAGTATTAGTGGTAGTACTGGTAGTGGTAGTAGTAGTGGTAGTAGTGTTCGTAGTAGTGGTAGTAGTGGTAGTAGTATTGGTAGTAGTAATAGTAGTAGTAATAGTAATAGTGGTAGAAGTAGTAGTAACAGTAGTAGCAGTGATATTATTATCAATATCAGTATTAGTAGTAGTAGTAGTGGTTATAATAGTAGACTATGAGAGAGTGACACTTACCACCACTAGTTTAGGGGACTGGCCGAGGAAGTGAACACCCAGATTAAAGTCCCCCTGGAAGGCAGTCTTCTGTGGGAACTGCACTACAGGCGGATGTCTTGGGGGATCAGTCCCAAACCCTGCCATCATATCCTTCATGCTGTGTCCTTCCTTGCTGCATCCCACCTGGGGTCCCAGGGGGTCCCCAATCCCCGGGGTTCCTTTAGGGAGTGGAAGCCAGACCTCATAATTGTCTTTTAAAGCTTGATTGAAGTCAAACTCTCTATTTTGTCTTCTCCGTATATCCCCGCCGTTTGGGGGAACATAGAGAGCCATAGACCCTCCGGGGCGGGTTCTTGGAAGTGCCAGGGGTCTTTGGATGGGGTCCATGGGAGGTATGGGTGTGTGGGTGGGCTGTGGATGGGTTGGTATTTGAGTGGGTTGGTCCCACAGGTTTAGGGGGTCGTGTTGGGTGGGTGGACGTGTCAATGACGGGACAGCAGTGGTTGTTAGACAGTGGGTGACCCCTGGGTGATTGTCTGCTGGGAGAATTAGCTGGGGAAGAGGCTGATACTGCTGCTGTTGCTGGGGTAGCAGCTCGAACGAGGTGCTGAGCTGCTGCTGTTGCTGCTGCTGCAGCTGTGGTAGTACATTCTGGACAGCTGTCCCTGAACCACCTTCAAAGAGTCCCACTGGACCACAGGATGAACCAGCCGGGCCATTAATGAGTCCCACTGGACCACAGGATGAACCGGTCGCTAAGTCACCGTAGTGCCCTAACTGACTGCTGGAACGACTGCTGTGTGCCGCCGTCCAGTACCTGCTGTCGTTACTGCTGCTCTGCTGGGCGTCGTGGGCGGCACCAGTACCGAAAATCTCTAGAAAATCCTGTAAGTCTGCGGGGGTCTCCTCCTGCAAGGTAAAGTAGATCAGTCCCCAGTGTTCCATCTCCCTCACTCCCTCCCCGTTACAATCAAATTTAGGAAATTTGCTAAACATCTCTGGTATCTTATTTTCATTAGTAAGATATCTTGACATGTCACATAGGTTATTATACTGTCTGTCTCTGTATTCCTCAATAAGTGGACAATTAAGCACATAGTGTTCAAGAGAGTGACCATATGCCTGGTCACATAATTTACATTTAGTTTGATCATCATCTGTGTGTCTCCCAAACTGCCAGAAGTACTTGTAACCAGTCCTAAGCCTGGCCACTACAACATCAGTCAGTACTTGTAACCAAGCCTAAGCCTGGCCACTACAACACCAGTCAGTACTTATAACCAAGCCTAAGCCTGGCCACTACAACACCAGTCAGTACTTGTAACCAAGCCTAAGCCTGGCCACTACAACATCAGTCAGTACTTGTAACCAGTCCTAAGCCTGGCCACTACAACATCAGTCAGTACTTGTAACCAAGCCTAAGCCTGGCCACTACAACACCAGTCAGTACTTGTAACCAAGCCTAAGCCTGGCCACTACAACACCAGTCAGTACTTGTAACCAAGCCTAAGCCTGGCCACTACAACACCAGTCAGTACTTGTAAACCAAGCCTAAGCCTGGCCACTACAACATCAGTCAGTACTTGTAACCAAAGCCTAAGCCTGGCCACTACAACACCAGTCAGTACTTGTAAACCAAGCCTAAGCCTGGCCACTACAACACCAGTCAGTACTTGTAACCAAGCCTAAGCTGGCCATACAACACCAGGTTTTTTG